CGGGGTCTTTGTTTTTAGCCTCTCGGTATCGAAAATGGTATCGAGTATTGAATATTATCGGTATTGAGCTGAAAATGTTTGTATCGTGACAATCCTTTGTTTGTTCTCTACATCTAAAGCAGTTTATTTTTAAGTTCTGAGATTCGCTCTTGGATTTGATGAAACTTTTAAGCCTCTCGGTATAAAATAAATATTTTGATCGAGATGAGAAATCTGCTTCCTGGTATGTTAAAGTACCGATAGTTTGCATCCAATCAAACTGGCTTCTTTTTAGGGAATATATAAAATGTATGCTATAATTTGTAGTTACCGATCTGTCGTTACTATATTTTAATTTGACAAACCGGATATTCTTGATTTTCTTTTTCCTGTTCGGTGTGATTGCAATTGTGGATCTAGACCTGGCCAGCTTCCAAAGGACCGGAGCGGAACGGAAAATAGCGGTGGATGTGGAACAGCTTTAATGGAGTAACATGACTGCACAAGAGCTCCGCAGGACGAACGTGAGCGGGATGGAGACGGAGGATGTGGAATCTTGGGTTAAGGACATCCAGAATCAGACATTGCATGTTGGTGGAAACGAGTCAAGTTAAGAATATTTAAATAAATCTGCCTGCATCTAAAATCTAAGCAAGCTGATAGAAACACTCTGCTGCCGCTTCAAAATAAATGAGTCAGTTCTGTCAATCAATAATATTCTGCAACACAACATTTATTCTAAAAGTATTTATCAATATGGATTCCCTGATGGAAATGAAAGGGCAGCATCATGAAACTGTAATAGTGGATGGATTCTTCAGAGATTTAAAAACAAGAAATAAATACATTTTATAAATTAAGAGTTTAAATTGTATGCAAAAAAAAAAAAAAAAAGTCAATGATCATTACACAAGAAAAAAAAACAAAAAGCAGATTTTAGGAAATTCATCAGATTGTGGAATCTGGGCCTTTGACTTCCATGAAGATTGTAATGGAAAATTCATCAACAATAAGTTCAAACCCTACATCCAGAGGTTTATTCAAGTGCATTTAAGTTATTTTATCAATAAAGAAAAAATAAAAATCCCAAACAGGGTTATGGTGGTGATGCAGGGGATAAAAGCACTGCTAGGGCCTAAAATCAAAATTATTTATTATGCGCTTGAAATAAAAGACTGCAGTTGTTTTTCATAATTTAAATGTATACTGCCTTATTCCATTGGCAAAGCATATCACTTAACTGCTTAATTCAAGAAAAAAATGCTTTTGTGTTAAGAAAAATAAACTTTCTTAGATTTAAAGTTTTTGCAGTGTATTTGCTTTACACTGGGAAAAAAATGTCTTAAATTAAGTGTAAATTGTCTTGTTCCATTGGCAAAGTGGATCTTTTTCCTCCTCAATCGAAGAACAAATGCACATATTTTAAGAATTAAATGACTTAGCTAGATTTTGATTTTTTTCCAGTGTAACTAACATCATTTAGCAAATCGATTAATCGATTTGCTAAATGATTATTTATTTATATATTTATTTATTATAAATGATTAAAAATCGATTATTTTTAGATTAATAATCTAAAGGTTCCTTAAAGAAGACTTTCTCTAAAATGAAAGCAGGTGAAACTAAAATCTTTCCACTTGAGGAGTTCTGGATAGAGCATATTGACACAAAGGAACTTTTTTATTTTATTCTATAGAAGAAATATTAATTATTATACAATTTTGGTATAATAGCCATTGCTCTGTCAGATAAAAGCATGTTTTAGAGTATCAATACTGCAGTTAACGATTAATCGATTACTAAATTAGTTGATTATTTCAATAATCAATCATGATTAATCCGATTAATTGATTCAGCCCAAGCTGATTTCATTATCTTTATCATATTTTGTCCAGTATCCTCTGTCACCAGACTTTGCTGCTGACTGGAAAGCCTTAACTTCTAGCTGCACAGATCTGTGAGCCGCATGTAACATGACTAAAAAACGATGTCTTCTGCTGTTTAGTAATTGTGTTTTATCAAACTGTTATTACATTTTAAATAGAATCTTCTATCCAGTTACCAAAATGTTGCCGATGTACGTCGGCCTCAGTCCTGAACGCTCTGCGGCGGGTCTCAGTACCGACCTGTTGACCTTTGACACTCTCTCTCCCTCAATCAGACAGAGTGTGTAAACTTATCAGCATTGCTGGGTGGCTAAAACAGGAAACCTTTTCATAGACCAAACAGTGTGATAAAAATCAAAGACCCACTCTGGAAAATGATCTAGAAATAAAGTAAAAATGTCTTAAATTAAGTGTATTTACCCTTAATTTGAGTAGGTAAAGAGATAGTTTGCGAA